ATTTTCACAATTATGTTTCTTTTCTTCATTTGAAAATATTAATGATTATACCACCAGTATAAAACTAATAAGATGTTTTAAAAATATTTTTCAATTTGAGATTGATGCAAGAAATTTTATTGGCGTAAAATTTAATACATAGATTCTTGGCTATCAAAATCATTCATAATCTTTGTTATTTCAGTTGTCTACAATGATTAATAATTATTAAAAATAAACAATTATTTTATTTTAATTACCTTACACATCTATTTAAATATTTTTCGAGTTTAATACTTCAACTACTAAATTATGTAACAATTACATTATATTTGTTCGAATCCCGAGAATTTTAGAAATTTTTGAAATTGCATAATTGTTTCAGAAATATTCCATCATAAAAGGCGCACCAAGTATAGAGATTGAATCAAATATTAACGCCTGTCATATCATCTCTTATTGAATTATCTTTTTTTAAAAAATTAAATGCCTTGTATAAAAATCCTCACATTTGTCTCACATGATGAAGATGTTTGTAATGTTGACCTATTTTTAAATATATAATAAAAAAGTGCGCGCGTGTAAAGTCGATTCGCATTTCACGAAATTTATTATTGTTGCGATGCCGATTGGCATAAGCCAAAAAGCATGAAATATTGTTTAGAATTGTATGTTTCATACGCAATATCAGTACCGGTTTAAGGGAGGGGGGGACTAAGGGAGCTGTAGCCCCCGGGCCCTATCTTTCTAAAGGGTTCTTCGATGCCAAGTTAACGGAATGATAACTCAAATTTTTTGTTAAAGAAATTTTTTTATTATAAATTAGATTTATTATTGTAAATTGGATTCGTTTAAAGAAAAAAAAGATGCGAGCTCTTGAGATATAGCGCGGATAAACGGAGCGGATGCGGAAAATTGATTCCTGCATTCTTGATTCTACGGCACCCTCATCACTCTTATCCGGTGCAGTGTCAGCTGCAGCGGCATGACGAAATATTTTCCGACTTTGTCGGGGAGTATCGAAAATCGCGATAACCATTGAATACATCCCATATACGTGTGTACACGGTCGTAGGGTTATATTTAGATAGTTGTGCGACCGGCGAACAAGCGCGCACACAACACGCACGGGCACAGACGTGGCATGGCGTTGCATACACATATTGCAGCGTATGCCACATCGTGGTGTTTGCATATGTGTACACATCGCCGTCGCGTCGAGTCGCGTCGGCCGCGTGTATCCGTGTGCATGTATCAACGTTCCCAGAAACACGTTACACTGACCCAAGGGACTCGTATCTTTGATACTGGGTCATCCCATGACAAATTGATCGGTGACGTTACGCCGTTGAGCTTCGGCATGAGTCTTCCACGCTCGAACGAGGAAGATCCTTCCGAGGGACATGTACGGTGCGGTGGATTATACCACCACCTAGGTGTGAGATCCGCTAGATCCGCGTCTAGGCTGTGCTGGGTAAATTTGAGAGATGTAGAACTGATACCATTATATGAAATACGATAAGCCTATAGGGAAATGATATTTGCAATAAATATTTGGCGTTCATACGAATGGCAAATAGTATTTAAAATCTGATTTTATTTCCGCCAAAATAAACGTAAATTCAATTTACGTTTAAGCCGCAATCGTAAAAATATTTTTAAAAACTTTTTAGTTCTCGGTATTGGTATTTAGTTCCGTGTATATTGATTATCAAGTTATGCTCCTTGGATTTGTGAATGAATTTAGCGAGTATAATTCTGGATTATCTGATTAAAAATCGCTGAATATGTATTTACGAATCAATAGCGACATGTTATATATATATATATATATATTATATATGTATAATCATAAATGAGTAGCATATCACTATTGACTCGTGTACTTTTTCTGTTAGCGTATATTTTTTACTAGTGCCTGTGTTATTGCAACATTCATTTTTATAAAAAACTTTTGAAACCTGCCGCTCTTGCGTAAATACAGGGATTGTAGTAATTGGAGAAAAATTGAATATCGCAAAACAGGGTATCGAATAATGCGCGTGGTAGCAATATGAAAAATTGATTTCGAAGGTCAAATCGAGGTACCGATCGATTCGACGCGACGCGGCGTGCCGACCGAAATGCATTTACAGAGGGAGAGAGAGAGAGAGGGAGGAGAGAGAGAGAGAGAGAGAGAGAAGCATGTTCTCGAGCGTTAAAATTTCTAGCCGGCGAACGCTACGTAACGTTCGACAGGCAAACCGATTCGACACTCCGTCTCGATTAGTGACTTTATTTAAATTTAAACGTTCACGCCCGTTCGCCTACACGCCGGTGATTATCGCAACATTTGCTAGTAATTGCTGGGACGACATCGCGATTGATTGTTTTACGCTCCTATCAGCGGTGCTCTATTTTATCAGGGCCGGCGGCATAATCTACGAATACGCCTACGCGCGTGTGCATACGCCGTCGCCACAGCGCGCCTGTTCGAGGCGATTCGAAAATTCCCGATACTCTCGCAAATGATAAAAAGCCAATGGGCGTGATAGAAGCCGTTGGACGTAACGCGCGCGTGCGATATTTTCGTGATATACGTTTACATGTAAAATCACTGGTAGTAAAATCGCCTGGGACGTATCCCATCCAATTCCGACATGACCCAATTCTGTTTCGTAAGCCGGTGGCGTGCCTTGTCATAGACGTCACGGAATATGATAAATGTTTTCCAAGTAAATGAGTAAATTGCATTCGATACAAAATTTATTTTTACTCCCTTGCAAATTATTATATGGAGAATAAATAGAAATCTATTCGAGAGTGATGTCAGGATAACCTGACGACACACACACACACACACACACACACACTATGAAAACGTCGATCTCGTCGTTCGTTGAGCAGCAGCTCGGTTACGCGATATCGTTCGAATATCTTTAGGTGACGTCGCAAAGGCAAATAATCGTGCGATATCGTTCGCGTTTATCAAAGACAGAAGAATGGCTTTAACGGGGGTCAAAAGAAGCGTGCTTTGTGGGAACCGCTTGCGAACGAGAGAGAGAGAGAGAGAGAGAGAGAGAGAGAGAGATGAATTGTGTTCGAAGCCTTGTAACGCGCCGCACGATTACGGCACGTCGTCGGAGGGAACGTGAAGGGGGTGCCCCGAATACGAGGCACAAGCGCAATTATTATTACGCTCGTTACTCGCATATTCCATTCAAAGCATTCGGGCGGACATTCGGCGGCAGCGACTCTGCCGCGGGGGTTATTATCCTATTGAGCTCATAAGAAGCAGCCCGCGTACGATGTCGTATGAGCCATCGTCTTACGACATCCTCTATCTGCTAACCAACGGAACACGGTGTAACAAGAAACGCTTAGCTCGCAGAGAACCCCCGGAGAACTTCGCCTCTCCGAGAGGCACCGCGAGAGGAAGAGAGATCGCTCTTTCTCAAGAGAGGGAGAAAGAGAGAGAGAGAGAGGAAAAGGGGGGACGCAACTTCAGTATAACGAACGGCTTCGACGATAACACAGGGCGACGCCGAGGCGCCACGTCTGTGCGAAGACCGCGTGAGTCCCGACAAGACATACGAGAACGATACATCGTTCTCAAGAATCTCTCCTCGAGCGATTTTCAGTTCTATCGATCATTTCACCGACGACGAATAAGAACGGCGCACCGGAGGAAACGTAGATAGATGACAGAGGAGCGACTCGTACACAGACGCGGGATGCAGAGTGAGGAGAGGAGAGTGGAAACCGAGTATACCATCTTGTTCCCGTTATTAGATGACGGACGATAGCCGATACGAATATAAATGACACGATGAGAATTAATTAGCGGTCGACGAGACGATCGAGAGATCCGGCTGAGCGACCGGCGCACTTTCCGTTTGTTTTGCCAAATGATAATTAAGGATTAATAGTAATATTAATGCAGAACGCGCAACTTTAGAACGCTTTCAAAGTCAACAATTGAACATTGAATCTATTAGAAGCGCTCTCATCTCCGAGGTTTCTCGATGCATTTTTTAATGCTCGCTAAAATTAACTTGCAAAATAACTTTATTGTCGGACTTAATTTATAGTTTATGAAAAGCCGAACGGAATGCACGTATCGCGTAAGCTTTAAATTAAGAAATACCGTTGTGTCTCGGAAGACACCAAGTAAAACGGCCAATTAGCATTCCTGATCTTCTTATACTGTCGCCGAATGAGGAGCTCGAGGAACGAGAGGAATTTTGTTAAAAGGGGGGGAGGGGGGAACAAACGGTCGATTCCTAAGAAACGTTCCTAATGGAAAGAAACGATAGTTGACAGCTCGTAAGCTATCTCTGAATTATCTAGCACCGAATAAAGATCACTGCCGCTTTTTTTTTTCTTATCCGATACGATCTCGCCCGTTTTAATACTCCATAAAACGCTCCGCGCGATAATTGTTAAGACGTAGTATATTTTCACGACAAAACTATATTACCATCGTAAAAAAAGCTTCCCTCATAATGGCGAGTCCATATGTGCTCTTAGCTACATACGCATGTATACGTGTGTGTATATGTGTATAGAACGCACTGCACTCCTTCTTCCTCCCTCCCTCTTTCTCCTCGCCTTGCTCTTCCAATACTAAATTGCCGGCACCCGGCAATACTTTTATCGCCTCTTTTACGGCACCGGTCCCCTTGCTCTCCAACTCCGTTTTTGAATCCGATGGGACTATAAAAATAAATTAGATAAGACGACGAAGTAAATGAGTAAGAGGAACGACGGCAGCCTATCGTTAAACGATATAAAGGAGAGAAAAAGATAGAAATTCACGAAAAGAGAGCGATAAGTTTTTAATCAGTTCTTGGTTAAAGGATAAAATATTTGAAAGTACATTTTAAGATGTGCGATCAAATTATGTATCAGTGTTACGTATCACGTCACATATCTTTATTTCACGCTATAGCATTAAAGTGAAAACTAGTTTCATATTGCATAATCATATTCAATTCTTACAAGTATATCAATCTAATAAATCTTTCTCGTCTATTGCGCAGGAACGGGAGCAGAAAGGTCGGGCGAAGAACAGTACCGTTAATAATTTGCCTCTCGCTGCTGATGACAATGGAGGCGAAGACATTGGCAGCTACGAACGTGACAAACGCGTCGTCCGTGGTAGTGTCGACGCTGAAGCCGTTTACAACGACGGAAGTAGTTTATCAGCGATTCGCTATCGAGCCGATGGATCAAACCGCGGTGATTGGCAGCCGGGTGACGCTTCCATGCCGAGTTCTCGATCAGAAGGGGCCCATTCAATGGACCAAGGACGACTTTGGCCTGGGAGCAGTTAGGAATCTCACCGGATACGAGCGATACGCCATGATCGGCAGCGACGAAGAAGGCAAGTATCCAGTGGATAAGATAATTCCGGAAATTCTATTTTCACGCTCAAATGGATTCCCTCGCCAGCCGCGCAACACGCTCGCAGATTACGGCAATTATGCAAAGTACAGTGCGATTTGCGATCGTAATATGAGGCTTCCTGTCTTAGGCTGTTCAGATAAAGATTAAAATTTTCGTGACTGAGAAAACATTGGGAAATCTCCGTTCAGGGAATAATTAACTACGACAATTTTTTTTTAACCTTCGAAATAACAAATACTAATTGTGAAATATTTTATATATTAGTGTTTTTCATATATAATACATATGCTCCTTTTCTCCCTTTCGAACGCAAAACTTAACCGTGTTTAAATTTCCTACGGATGAAACTGTACTCTTTATCAAGTAAAGGATTATTTAAAAATCTATACACTATATCAACATATACTATAATACGCCGCTGGCCTGTTTACTCGTTCAAATTCAATTTCCGGCCGCAAGGTATTGATTTTCTGCCGTGTCGAAAAAGTGTACGCACATTCGCCCGGTTGCCCGTAGGACTTGCGCGTCATGAAAAAATATTTCACATCGCTTAGAGATCTATATATTCGCGCACATGGTGACATATAATGCGCGAAGAGGAAACTTAGGCATAGTAAATTTACAAAAGCGACATCCGTACATAAATAGTGAATCATACATGTCTCAGATGGAAATCGAAAAAAAAAAGTTAAAAATGTACAGAGTATATTTTTTTATCTGTGACTATGTGTATAAGAAATTTTGTTCTGGATATTGAAATCTTTTTTTTTTTTAAGTTGGATGACCACATTTTATTTATGAGCCTCCACTGGAATTAAAAACTTACAACTGATGTAGACTGACGTAGGCGTTACTTTAACGCAAGTTTAATTTGAGTTTTTATCATAAAAATGAGTAAATAATGGAGAAGATTGGAAGATTGTGGGGAACGACGATCGCTCCCTGGATACGTATTTTCGTCCGAAGAAAATCGATCCGAAATTGAGTAAAGAATCCTGTCACGTACAATGCGAAGTGGAAATAATCTCTACATTATATGGATACTCTCTGAAATTGTAGACAATGGAGGAGATCGAAAAAACGATATCAACTGCAGCGGAATATGTCAGTCGCTTACGGCATCGCGTCGAAACGCAGATATGGAATTTATCGCCGGCGCGGTTTTATTTTAAATTCGTCGCGTATTCACGTATACTGTCAGGAGCCAGCCAGCTTGATAACTACCATCGACGAATTAGAGCGAGCTCATCCTACTGTGAGGAAGAGTCTGTCTCTGCTCCTCCCCTCCCATTCTTCTTCTCTCTCTTTCTTTTCTCTTCCCGGTGATTTTCAACCACCACCGCCGCCACCGCCGCCGCCGCCGCTGCCGCCGCCGCCGCCGCCGCCGCCGCTGATTCCCTCGTCAAATCGCGAGAATACGTATTGTCTGTCGAGGGAAAGTGGCGTCGTCGTTCAAAAGTATCGCGAGCTCGTCGATTCACGCCAAGTCGCATCACACGTATCACGCGGTAACGTATCGCGCTCGAATAAATCCGCGTCGCCTGTACAATTTATCCCTTCCCTCCCCACCCCCCTTTCTGTATGTGCCGTTTCCTTCTTTCGCACATCGGGAATTTTTTTCTCGCCGCTCCGTTCGACCGTTCCCTTGGTCCTTCTCGCGGAACGATGTCACGCATGCATTCTGATGCCTGCAAGCATCACGCTTCTCGGATCCGCGAGCGGAGCAAAATGAGCACGACGAAGAAGCGCATTCCGCGTATATGGCGCGGCAGTTGAAGGGACGGACGGCTCACGGTCAGACGGTAGAAAAATGTAATTGTCAGTCTCCGTGCGTGCGTGCGACGAGGAATAATTTCTACAATAAATTGCACCTTCGCGATAAAGCCGGCTGACAACGGCGGCGGCGCGGCGCGTCCGACCGGAGACGCACTAAGGGCACTTTCCGCCTGGGTGTCAACCCTAATTTACTACCCTTATATATGAAATATAAAATTCCACAGAAAATATGAAGCAAGTAGATAAATGTATCCCGAGACGATAATTTCATTTCCGTGAAATTATTAATATCTTTTTTAAGGATTGAAACAAGTAGCAAATGTTATAACCAGTAAAAAATATTACAAACCGCACGCAAAGATGAAAATAATCTAAAGTTATTAAATTTGTATTGAAATTTTACATTTAGCAAAGATATTATAGAGCTCTCCAGTAAATTAAAAAAATCAATTTTGCATTGCGAAATTATGTAAAATATAACATATTAATAACTTACAGTTTTGTCTGTAATAAGTTACAGATAAAATAGTTACACTATTACTTCTCTCTTTTCTTTCTCGCTTTCTCTCTTTCTTCCTTCCTCTCTGTCTCTTTATCCGCAATTTCAATACAAGGAAAAATTCATTACTTAATTTAATATTCTATTAAACGCCCGCACTATAGAGTACAAAACTCTGTAAATGATTTTTTTATTTATTCTCTGTTAGAACAGTATGTCCCTTGATTGTCGCGTTTCTGTCCAAAGCTACGGTGGCTTATGCCCGATGAAACGTGTATGAGCCGCTCGTAATACCGCGCGTTTCAGCCGTTAAACGTCAGGGCGTTATCGAAAATAATTTCCATGGGAAATTTTGTGTGGTGCGGTGTGGGATGACGCGAAAAGCTTCGCCGAGTCACTCGTCCGTGATGGTCGCGCGAGTAAAATTGACGAGCGCCCCTGCATTAAATGATAAAGCGCTTTTTTGCTTCTTTTTTTTATATTTTATTTTGACTGCAGAGGCATATTCATTCATTCGCTATTTCCACCGATGTGCCAATGATCGATTTATCCTTTCGAATCGTACGGCTTTATCGAACGGTATTATGTAAAAGTAATTTAACCCATCAGCTAGCAGTTCTGAGCAAATCAGGTTTAAAATTTCGAAGAAATATTTTAAGCCATTTTTCCTGAATAGCGTGCAATATTGAATTTTAATTTATTTTTTTTTAATGCAAAGTTTTATATTCGCTGCCGACCCCACAGCTACACAGCTCGCTTTTTTCAAATTTCACAGTTTAACTTATTTTTATATGATACCTTCCAATTAGCGTAAACCGAATAGCGGAAACCGTAACCGAGCGATAAAGTGCATTCACCTATATCCATCTACATTCGTGGAAGTTAAAAGCCAATTGAAACGTACATTTTCTTGCTAACTACAATTAACGCTTCTCCCAGGATCCCCGTTGAATAAACTTTGGAAACTTTGACATACAGCACATCGTCCGTAGACTTCTGTAATACTACGATAATTACTTTCGCTAGATATAGTCAGTGTTATATATCGCGACGTCAGTTAGGACGATCATCTATAATGCCCTCATAATCAGTTGAATTTACTCCCGACGAACGTAACTTAGTAATTTTCGTGCCGCGAACTTTTGGCATGCTATTGTTTGCGCAGCCGGTATCGTACGACTTTCTAAAATAACTTTCTCTTTAAAGGATCTACATTTTACAATTTTCTTCTATGTTAAGTTTACTCAGAGTTGTTTCGAAACGTTTCTATATAAACGATAAGTATTTTATGTTTAAACTGGTGGAGTTCACTAGGATACTGCATTGGTTGTGCAAATGCAATATCGTTGAGCAGTGTTTTTCAATCAGGCTTTTTCGCAAACTCGATGAATCTAACGTTTTCAATACCTTCTTTTTATGTTGTTTTACGTTCTCTCGAGATTATACCGCGAAATATTATATAACGATAACATGGGGACAGAAAAAGAGAGGGAAATGCTATTGATAAACTGAGATATATCTCGAAAATGTCACAGAATTTTTTTTTATCTATATTATTTATTTGTCTTTTCTGTTACATTTTCACTTACTTTCAAATTTATTTACGTATATGCGCAACTTTAATCTTTTATATTCAGGATTTGACAAGATGGGCCCAATCCAAAAAATCAACTGGGCTGGGCTTTAAAAAAAAAACCCGGATTTTTTCAAACTCTGTTTATATTGTACGTTTCATTTCCATTTTCTTTATTACTTTTTGTAATAATATTATCCGGAAGATGGAGGGTTTCGGTGAATAGCCGACCGGATGAGTGATGGTGACAACTTCTTATTTACAAAATGTTAACGCACGTCGGTGTTACCGGGTTAGAAAGTTTTACGGAAGGAGATCCTCGAATACTACACACCTGCGCGTCAAGTAAAGTTTGTTGCATTAAGCGTGAAAAATTATAATGCCAGAGAAAACTTTGACGTCAGACAGAAGTGAAGTGAACTCTGATTATATTAAAACTCCCCGCCGAATTTTTTGAATAATGAATCGTCACGCGGATATTCGATTAAAAAATGATGAAAAACTCTCGAAACTTTCGTAATTATAGAATGCCATTATGCGTAATCGCAATAAACTTATCTGCGTATATTAGTTTCCGAGAAATATATCTTGCCAATTTTGTGTTTTATTGCGGTAGCGCAGCGCCGACAATTGTGTTTGATACTGCGCTAGAATTCTGTTCTTCGTGCCACAATTTGAGAAACGTTTCCGATCCTACGCAAAAGTCGGACAAAGGAAAAAGGATCTTTTGGCAGTAAAGGTACACGAGAGGAGTCGTGAAGACTTACTCGATGCGGTGGAACAATACATCGCGAGCAATTAATTAACTCTTGCGTTGTCCGCTCCGCTACAAGCAGCTATAATTAATTTTAATTACACGAGTCAAGAAACGAACATTGTATCATAAACCGTTGCGATTAATTACAATTTGTTGCAGTTAACAAGAAGTGTAATACTACGGCATTTTAACCGACTCGGAAATCGCGAAAATCAATATTCAGCTATTTGCGAGACGATAATGCGAGGTAAACAAATAAGAAAAAGACGAGTCGTGAGGAATAGAAAGGGAATTAATGTTTCTGGATAATATATATTTAATGTGTATTTGCTGTAATATCGCGATTGTGACAAACCCGGCGTCTACGACATA